TATATATATATATATATATATGTATATAAAAAGAATTTAACTTTGCATGTTTCTACGCGAAGCTTCTGAACTCTTGTAAATTGAAAATACGTTTCACAGGTGGGATTAAATGTTCCACATCTATTGACACACTATTGTTGCATTCTCGCGCGCGTTTTTCAAATTTTTCTAAAGATAAGCCGAGACATCTTGGATATTATAATTTGCATAAACGATCCAACTGTTAGATACAGAATATTGAAATATTCGGAAACACGTCAATCGTCGTTCTGCAAGTGGTATGCCTGAAGATTAATACTCAAAGTGCTACGCGCGTCTCTATAGAGACTTTGTGTAAGTATAGTTAATGGCACAATAGGGGACGCGGATGTATTTATTAAGGTCTCTAACACGATTCCCCGAGTCGCGGAGAATTATCCTGCAGAACAGTCGGGGATAAATATTTGCACGGCGTTAAACTGTATATGAATGCATGCATTGTAAGCTTCGGATCTTTCCCTCGGCGACTCGAGGAAAATGAAATCCAGCCTGGCGCGGAGCTTGCTCTTTTATTGCGTTCGCCTTTGTCGCCAAAGAATTATCGTCTACTTATGAATTCGAGCGAGGCAGAGCTGCCTCGACAAAACACTTTCTTCGAAGGAAGATTCATAACGGATTGCGAATTGAAGCTACACTGAAGCAAAGTTGCCGATAATTGGCAGTTGAAGTATTTCCAAGTAATTATACGATCGGCATAACAGTAATCGTGGAGGGTTGTTTATTGTCGTGCAAGTAGTACAGAGCAATTTTTGTCAGGCAAGTAGAATAGAACGTGGTTTTGTCAGGCTTGACAGCAAAGCAGGCCAAAGCTGATTCAACGAGGAAGAATTACTACCTGATTTACGCGAGTATATATACAAACTAGAAATCGTCGGGAGATTCATGGACATAATAATATAGATCTGCATATACCGATCGTCGCGATTCGTACTTAAAGATTAAATTCGTTGAATCTTCGAGAGTGGAAAGTTGAGCATATTGAAAATATTCTACGACTTGAATACCGTACGTCTCTGAAGAGATTATTTTCAACTAATGTCTGCGAATTTCTTCAAAAGCGAAATATTTTTGTTTAGAATGAAATAAAAAGTTACACATTACTGTCACATTTTGAAATAAAGCAGGAGATAGTGTTCGTCACTTTATTCCAAGTCCTAATGGAAAATTGCTAATTAATCATACAAAGAGACGTGAAAGATCCACGTTACGTATCGTTCGTTTCCCTTTCAAGTGGTACGAGTCAATCGTTCTTCGGGCCAAGTCGCCACCCGACAACAGTTTGTTCACGTACGGGCGATCGTTTGTCCGCGACAACAGATCGTGTTAATCGTCATTAACAAAGTGATTACGTTGCACAGATTGGAATTCTCGCCGAGGCACTGGGCGGAGTGAATGTCGGCAATTGCGGACACGCGTGCGAGGCGAGGCCCTGCGGAGACGCGGAGTGCCGTCCGCTCCGGGACCGATTCACGTGTCGCTGTCGGCCTGGCATGCCGCATCCGTGTCCAGCGCCGGACGACAACACGATTCTGGACAGCTCTCTGGTGAAACCGAACGGTGGCACGCACTACGAGAGATCGGTGCCCAGTTTCTCCGGCAGCGAGAGCTACCTTCATTACAACGACGCTGACACGATGAAAAGGTACCAGCCAGTTGACAAATCTTGACGTTCCATTAATTGATCCTTCGTTGTTTATTGTCTTGCGATATCTCGATACTTTATTCTAAACGGCGGCTTTATAAATAAATCCAAACGAGTCTACGAAACTGCAGACTATGACGATCCTGTTATTCAGAGAATTCAGCTTCCAGCGTGAATACTTGCGTGACGAGCAGAGATCAGAATATGAATGTCCACGTGTCTCCGAAATAAATAAAAAGAAATTTAAGAAAAGAACTGTTTCGCTGGTTTTAATAAAAATTTAAGAAATTCGCAAAATTAAGAAGCTCGATACCTTCTTTAACACTAAACGTACCAAGCGGGGTCAAATGGCCTCTTTTCAAAATTTTATTTAAAATCGTACATTCGTTGTTATTTCTTTCGCTAATCTGACTTTTTGTGAATTCTTATATTATCTGATTATTCAA